GATTTTCATCTTCACCTAAGAACATCTTCCATTACTTCAGGTAAGATGGGACTCATAAAGTATTCCTATGGGCTATTGTTTCAAATATAGGAGATCTTTCTCCTATATTTGTTTCAAATACGGCACAACTATATGAGATCTTACCTCACAGGCTTGTGTTAGCAGTGGCCCCCAGCTCATCCCAGCATCCAGTACTATATTCAACATTTATTAAAGAAACATCAACACACACAGCATTCTCACCGAACATGGTGACCTGCTAATCACTACGTTTCCATGAATCTCTCTTGACCATCACAGTTCTATCAATATCAGTGATCAATGTGATGACTATCATCAGTCAAGCTGAACAGCATTGTGTAATGGGTATTTGCCCTTGTGACTCTTGGTTTGGCTGACTTCCACTCCATGTAAATGGTAAGACAAGATTCTATACAAAGGAGGCCGAGGATAGCTTTGGGGACCTTTCCACTGGAGCGGGCCTGTACATTTATGACAAGGGAAGAAGACACCAGTATGTGACAAAGTATATTAGGGAAATACTTTTAAGGTTGCTATTTGTGGTAGATAGATTGCAAAAAGGGCTCCAATTGCTCTCTTTCCTGAGCTTATGTGCTTTGCAATATGAGTTTGTAGCTCTTCCCATGAAAAAGTGGAATCTAGTTCCCCATGCTTGAATCTGGGTTGGGCAGATTTGTTCTGGCCTGTGCCACGGAATGTGGCATTGCACAATGCTTGGCACATGGTAGGTGCTCAGCAAATAGCTATTGAATGAATGAATGAACAGATGGCTACAGACCACTTCTCATCTGCCTTCCATTGTGCCTCTTGTCTGTTCTCCCTTTCACAATTCTTGCTATCACTTTGTCCTTTGAGTCCTGCTTTCCATCTAGGCCCTTAGATGTAGTGACTTAACTAATATTCCGCCTTCTTTTTTTAGGAAGACAAAGATATATGCATTATATCATAGAATGACTTCTGTCAAATTTGGCAAACACAAGCTAGTAAAAGTTTTGCTACTTAAAAGAGTAAGCTCCAATCATGGATAAATGAAGTAACATTAAACCTCTCTGTATGGAGATCTGCACATAGTGTGTTTTCAATTCACGCTAGATAGCAACAGCCAGGAGTCAAGCCATCTGGTGCACTCACCTACCTACTATGTGCTCAGTGTAGTACTGGGTGCTGTGGAGCAGATACAGAATCCATGAAAACAAAAGTGAATGTCAAGCAGGAGCCAGGGAGAGATCTTTGCTACAGTCACTATTAATTGAGGCCAAGCACTCATGTGAGCCATTTTCTGTCCCAAACACTGTGTGCTGACTTCAATGCAATCCTCTCAATTGAATTGTGGAATATTTAGATGGTTTTTCCCCAGTGTTCTCTAATTTCATAAGCTCTCATTTCTGTGAACTAGGAATGAAATTTCTAGCTGTCTTAGGTATATGAAAAGGCAAAATTCAAATTCCCTAACTTAATAAGAAATAAACTTGGTTTTATGCAAAACCACCAAACCTGTCTCTGCACAGTCATGGTGTGGTGTCCCCAAGGGCGTTCTCTGGGTGTGTTTATTCAACTTTATTTGCTTATCTGTGGTTTAATTTTCATGGGTTTTATTTACTTTTTTGTAAGGTCCAAAATCTGCATAAGATACACCTTAATGAAAAGTAGCAAACCACTTAGAAGGTTTATAAGATGCTCAAGTAATGGGAATTAGAAGTCATTATCTTTTGTGATGGCAGCAAACAGTTGTCTGAATTGAGTTGATTTTTGGTGTTACGTATTATAATGGAACAAATTACTAATGAAGTGCTAAATTACTGCAACATCCCTGTTACTTATTAAAAACTTTGGTTAATTAAACTGGGGAAAAGGAAGGGTTGAAGCATATTTTAATACCTCTTTTGAGGCCAGGTCAGAAGTGAACAGATGTCTGAGCCTGAAGCCCAGCCCAAGGGCATCCTCTCAGACACAGCTTCCAACACCTGTGAGAAACACTGCAGGGAGGAGCCACCGACCTTCCAAATTTCAAACAGACCTTGAATGCATGAAGAGAAATCCTGCTCTAAAATGAATGTCACTGGCTGCTCAGTTGTCCAAAGTCTCTGCCAGCTTGTTTTTAATGAATATTGTGACAAATGCAATTGGAAATAAAGGAAAATGCAGCTGGGGGGAAACATGAAGATACACTATGGGAGATGTTTAATATTGTCTGTTTTGAAAACTACTTTTTTTAGAATGACATAGCTGAGCCAAGGATATCACAGACGTCGCCATTCTCAACCTCCCACTCCATTTTCTCCACTTTTGATGGGCTCCCTGTTCTACTCTCTGTTCCCAAGTCCCTTTCTTGGGAATCAGCCTCTGCATTTGGCTCCTAAGACCGGGGTTTTGCCTTCATCTGGCACTGTCCATCCTTCAGGAATGGAATTTCTACCTCCCAAATCCAAGCTTAAATTAGGATCTTGTGATGGATAATTTTATGTGTCAACCTAACTGGACCACAGGATGCCCAGATTATCTGATTAAATATTATTTCTGGGTGTATCTGTGAAGGAATGTCCAGAAGAGCTTAGCAATTGGATTGGAAGACAGCAAAGCAGAGGTCCGCCCCAATGTGAGTGTGTGTGTGGGCATCCTCTAATCCATTGAGGGGCTGAGCAGAAGGAAAAGGTGGAGGGAGGCTGACTCTACTCTCACCCTACCTGACTGCTTGAGCTGGACAATAATCTTCTCCTGCCCTTGGTGCAGGAGGCTCTCAAGTGTTCAGATAAGGACTGGAATCTGTATTGTTCAACTTGCCGACTCAGGCCTTTGAACTACAGCACCTGTTTCGTGGGACTCCAACTTGCACACAGCAGCTCATGGACTTCTTTTCAGCCTCCATTGATGAGTCAGTCAGTGTCTATAGTAAATCTCTTGACAGACAGATAGACAGACAGACAGACAGATAGGAAAACAGAGGTATTGCATGGCTTCTGTTTCTCTGTAGAACCCTGACAGAGACAGAGCCTGTTGTCTTTGGTAATGATGCCACCTCCCTGAATTCCTATCTTTCTGGATTTCTAGTGTTGTCTGCTCCCAAGTTCTCTGCAGTAGTTTTGTGTTCCTCAGTCAAGGGTCTTCTACATACTTCCTCCTGCTCACGTTCCCAGTATTGCCAATTAAGAGTGCTGATTACTCGTCTGTGCAAATCCCCTCTCTTGCCAGATGCAGACTGTCTGCTGAATTATATCCACTTAGATATCAGTGGGTGGATCTGTCCACCCAAACTTGCCCAGCCCTGTCCCCACTGGAGAGTTGAATTTCAGGCCCCAGTCACTGTGTGATAAATGAGACTCAAATCCACAGTCAGAAAATCCCAGTTCCAATTGCTGATGACTAGTTGTATGACTGGGATATCCAACACTCTAAACTTCAATGTTCTCATTTTCCCTTAATTTTATTTATACATGTCGATGAGGTAGCAGAAATTCAAAGATAAAAAAGCTAAGGTCCTTTCCTACAAGAAGCTCATTCTAGCTGGGGGAAACTGCCTTGTAAATAAATGACTATGAAATTATGGGATAAGTGCTAAGAAAAGTATAGTGAAAATATTATGAAAATACACTGAGAACAGAACAATTAACCATGCCAGTGGGGCCAGGGGCTGGGGCAAGGAAGAGTGTATGGAGAAGATATTTGAGCAATCTTCAAGGTGAGCTTGCACTTTCCAACCAGTTAAGACTTTCCCTTCAAGGAGGAGAAAAATGACATGTGCAAAGGTGCAGGTAAGAATGGCATGGAAGGTCCTGAAAGGGAACATGACTTGGACTCACTATTAGAGGCTGCAAGTGGCCAGCAATGAGGCCAGAAAACAGACAGGATCTAAATAGTGATGGGTCTTTTATGTAGGACTAAGGAGGTTGCACATTATCCTACAGACAAAGACAGGAGGTCAAGGAGAAGGGTATTGCATTAGGACAGGTAAGACGCTAAGGGCAGTGACAGTGTAGGAGGCTGAGTCAAAAGAGTCATAGGCTGAAGCATTTGAATAATGTGGGGATTAATTAGACGTGAGGTGTGTGGGAGAAACAGCTGGCAGTCACACCAAAATTCTGGTTGAGGTGTGTAAGAAGCAGCCTAGCGCAGATGCCATGGTGGTAAGACACAAGCTCTGGCACTGAGAAGTCTGGTTACTAACACACCCATGAGGGCCATTCTTAGAGGGGATGGTCAGTGTCATCAAACAGATGAGATCAGCCAGATGGAATGCACAGGGTGAAAAAAGAAGGCCAGGGAGAGAGAGCCAAGGGGGAAAGCTGCATTTCAAGACATGTTGAAGAACCGGTGAGAAACTGAGCAGGAGCTATCCAGAGAGAGGGAGAGCCAGGCGAAGCAGGTCACAGCTGTCAGCAGAGGAACACCCCAAAGGAGACAAAAGGAGCATGAGACAAAAATACAAGCACTAGCTGGGGAAACACCCACGGGTTTTGGCAAGGAGAGGGTTATTGATGAACTTTGCAATGATTTGTTTCTAGGAGTGATACGGAAAAGAAGGATCACAGAAAAGTGAAGAGAGGGAGCGGGGATGTACGCCACATGTCAACAGAGTTAGCAATGCAGGGGAGGTGAAAGGAGGTAATCTGAGAGCAACACAAAAAAGCAGGGAACTTTTTATTTAAAGTGACGAGATTATAAGCATATGTGCCATGAGGAGATTGGATAAAATCCCCAAGGTTCCTTCCAGCTCTCTCTGTCCTTTCATTCTATGAAATCTGCTAAAGCACAGAAACAGTGGATTGCTAGTAGAGGATTTCCAGTATAATAAGAGATATACACTGGAAAAATTACTTGATGAAGTTCCTAAAGATTTT